TCTAAAATACTTTTCAGTTCCACAATTAAGCTTGTCCCAAACTGTTTAATAAGAAGCTGTCTTCTCTCTATAAGATGGTCCTGATGATTTAAGAAACCTTTATTGTCCATCATGTGAACAAAGCCTGACATCTAGAGAATGCAAAGATGGAACACACCCCAGACCTGCCGTTGTCAGGAAAATGCTGAGACCCTTGACCAGTAGAGGCGGGCGGTTGGCAGGGAACCACTCACATCCTCCTACATGGCTCCCTCCGGTGACAAACAGCATTTGTGGAACAGCAGCCCAGGGGACAGGGTAGAATCTGTGGCAGTGGAACCGGGCCAAAAAATAGACTCAGAGGAATAGTAAATCTGTAACATTGACCTCATTAGCAGCAAACTGTAACCAATTGCTAATTGCCTTATGGCTATATTGTAAATTGTGCATGTATGTAAATTGTGTATGTATGCATGTAAATTCTCTATGTGTCTGGCACCTAAAATATGCAAGAATTTAATATGATGATTGGAGTTTGGGAAAGGAGATACCAGATTAACCAACGTCCTCTAATGGGAAATAAAGGTAAAATCTTTAAGTAGTGACCAACTTTCTGGTGGAAAATACACTAATTTCATGAAGTGTATTGACTTGGTCACCCCAATTTAGCTTTGCTTTCTCCTGTATCGTGAAGAGAAGAAAGTTCAGTCAGAACTCAAGTAAAATAAAACTAGCTAAAGGATACCAGTAGAGAGTATATCTATGTACTATAGTACCAGGACAAAAATGATCTTTTTTCAGTATGTCTGGCACTTGGAGGCACATACTAATAAATAGGATGCTATCAGTAAATTAAACAGTTGCTTATTAAATCCAGTCAGGTCCAGGTATTGTAAATATAGCCTAAAGGGTTTACTATACCAAATCAAAGATTGGCATTTATAATCTCTGTAGACGACATTTTAAAATAGACTCTAAGATTACAAAGAGGCATTTCCCTCATCTTCCCCAAAGCATGTTTCCATTGCAACAAATAACTACAAAGTCCCTTGCTTGCAGTGTCTCAGCACATGTTTATACAAGAGAAGATAAGAAGACAATTCAAGGTACAATCTACCAAGTGCCAATTGTGATTTGAAGGAAAAGAAAAGATCTTTCACAGTTAATATATACTGAGTGGCTATATGTGCCTGGCACAGAGCTACTACCCAAGGACAGTGATGAACAAGACAGACTTCATTACTGACCTATTGGAATTTGTATTCTAATGATGGCCAAAAGAAAATACAAATGAAAAAATGAGTGGTTGTGGTAAGTGTCATGCAGGAGACAAAATGGGTCCTGTAATGGAGAATAGGGTAGGCATGAGCATCTTAGACAGGGGCTTAAAGGAGGTCTTCCGTAGAAAGGGATTTCTAACTTGGAACCAGAATTGTGAAAAAGGGGTTAATGAACTTTATGAATTTTGTTCACTTATTGTTCATTATTATAATTATGTTCAATTATGAAAGTAGGAAGAGAAAAAAAACTTCCAGAGAGAAACGTAATGGGGAAAATTGAATAAAAGTCATCACAAGACTGGAAACACTGCTTCCTCTCATTGGAACCATTTTTCTTTCTTACCTCAAGCACCAAGGCAGGGCACAATGAGCTGTGACTACAAAAGCAAAGAAAAATCCTGGGGTTTCTATCGTTGTTGTTGTTGTCGTTAAGTCACTTTTGGAGGAGATAAACATCGTGAATACTAAAGCTATTGTTTATCAAGCATTAGCTACATGATATGCATGTTATATATAGTATTTCATTTAATCCTCACACAACCCAAAAGACCGGAAGTGTTATTACCCATATTTTGCAGCTGAGAAAATGAGGGAGAGTCTAAATAATTTGTCTGAGATTACACAGCTGTGGAAGAGTCGGGTTTATACTCCCACGCACAGTGGGACCTGTCAGTCTGTGATTTTTAACTACTATGCTGGAAAGCAAAATTAAGGAAAGAATTGAAATGATTATCTTGTCTGGCTCCCTTTCTTCATCTGATCACGTTCCCACTGACTGTACTGAATTTTGTACTCAATTACTTAATTGCAGTATAAAAATATACTTTGGCTTCTCTGGTGACATTACTTTTAAATGCCAATGATATTTACAGAGAAAATGGTGGGAGGGACTTCATTAGGTTTCACTGAAATACCCAAGTGATCCAGCTGTAATGCTGTCTTCCTCAAATAAGAACTATCTTATTTTGTAATTCATCTCTTTTCATTATAGAATAATGCATTTTATCAAGATGCTTAACTTGCGGCTCCAGTTTTGACTTGATCCAGCATCTAGCATAAAAGGTAAAGATAATGTGATACTGAAACCATTATTCTAATTAATATTTCAATCAAGTTTGCAAACAGCCTTTTACTTCCAGTAGACAAACCTGTTTTTAAAAGGCAAGCATATGCCAAATGGTTTATCTAGGATTTCCATTTATACAGAAAACATTCATGAGCATAAAAATCAGACTATATTATTGTGATTGGTCAAAGAGTGATAGAATAGATTCTACAACATTTTATACTTAATTTCATTATCTACTACTAATGGAATTATAAATGAATCTATATACTCAGAAATTTATAGTTGTTTTATATTGCCAACACTACATATAATTATCCAAAATACAAACCAATTTATTCACACTTATGCCTACCTTAAAACGGGTATCTCAATCCTATTCAAATTTATAGAAAAATTAGCAAGGTCTAATTAATATCTTTGGATTTAATAAAGTTAGAGAGAGAAGCTGTTCTCAAGATAAATATTATTTCTCTGCTTTCTTTTAAATATATCAGGCCAGGATTTTTCTTTCAGCAATTTCCTTTTGGAAAACTGACAGTTTTCTCTGGTGACTCCCATCTCCCCAGTGGTATATAACGTCATGAAGGTAAAAATCATATTTTTTCTACTTCAGAATAATTCCTAGTTCTTGTCACATAGGATATTTCAAGGTCTGCATATGTCACATTTGCTTCTTAATGGTCCAGTTTTCATGGCATTGTCACAAGAGTGAATCCCTTTACATTAGTAGGGCTCTACACCCTCATTAAAAAAATAGTGAGGGGGCCGGCCCATTGGCAAAGTGGTTAAGTTCACACGCTCCGCCTGGGGTTCACCAGTTCGGATCCCGGATCTGGACCTAGAACCGATTATCAAGCCATGCTGTGGCAGGAGTCCCACATGTAAAATAGAGGAAGATGGGCACAGATGTTAGCTCGGGGCCAATCTTCCTCAGCAAAAAGAGGAGGATTGGTGGAGGATGTTAGCTCAGGCCTAATCGTCCTCAAAACAAAAACAAAATAAGTAGCCAGACTTTCCAATTACTTTGGAAATGGTTTCCACACAAACACTCCAGGATTGTTCAAACGTATAGATAGATAAATCAATACGCTTCCAAAAGATCATCTCTTTACACTCCTAACATAAACCTTGTGTGCCATAAGAAATAAGTCAACAAATATGAATAATTCATTCACATCTCTGGTTGCTGTCCTTTTACTACTCATGTTTCACTTTAAATGTCACCTCAAAGAGTCCTTCCTAGTCTGCTAATGTAATATAACCCAATCATTCCCTCAAAACTTCCTGCTTTGTTATCAACAAAGCACTGATCAGTTATATTTTTTGTGTAGTTATTTGTTCATTTTTTTCTGGTTCTAATCAAACCTGGTAAACCCCATAAGAGCAAGGACATATAAATATATCCTACCACCTAGCACATTACTTGGCACATAATAGGTACACAATAAGTGTTTGCTGAATGATATATGAGTGCATGAATCAAAGAGCAAGAGAGTGAATACTTGGAAAACACCTATGTAGATATAGCCATTCATCCAATAAATATTCCCATCATTAGTCATTATTAAATACTGATTTTAAAGAGCATGCATATTACGATAAAAGAAGGAAAGAATTCCTTTATACCAGTGTTTTTCAATTGGGTTGGGGGAGGGAGGGATTTTCCCTCCACAAGATATTTTACAACGTCTGCAGATGTTTTTTGGTTGTCACAACTGGGAGGGTAAGACGGGAATCTATTGGATGGCTGCTAAGTAGCCACCATTGCACAGGATAGTCTCCTACAAAAAAGAATTATCCAACCCAGAATTTCGATAATGCCAATGTTTTATACTCATCTCTATTCCTCATATAAATTTAACACATACTTATTAGACAATTACCATATGCTAACATCAAATTGAGTTCCTGTGAAGAAAAGACATGTTATAGACAGATTGTAAACAGATTTACTAATAGATGGTTGGCTGGCTAGATTGATGGATGGAAGGATGAATTGATAGATGGATGGATAGATGAATGGGTAATTCATAGACAGACATATGCATACATAAATAGAAAGATAGCAGTCACAACACTCTGTGTGGACTAAAATAAACCATTTGTGATTGCTAATTGCAGGAAATTTATACATTTTCTCTTTTAAAGAGTAAACTATTGGACTGCATAAAAAAAACACAATGAACGTTGGTGAGAGACTGTAAGGTAATTTTGGCATCAAATGCTAATGATATTTGTGAACAGAATGGCTATAAGTAGGAACTGATCACCAGTTTTTAGTTAAGAGCCCCATGAAATAAATATAATAATGTCTTTTCCAAATAAAAGGCATGCATCCCTTTCCCATAAATGAGAATCACTGTGTCAAGTGAGAGGTGTGCTACCTGTGTACATGAAATGGTTCTGTATGTGATGAGATAGAAAACTGGAATCCAGGCAAAGAGTTGGAGCAGAAGCTGTTAAAAACAATCAAATGCCCAAATAGTAGGGCTTATATTTAGGTCATTGAACAGGAAGTAAAAATATTTTGTTACCTTGAAGAGGTGAGGCATTCTACATAGCATGTTCCATAAATTAAAAATAGCAAAGGCAGGATGTACATAGAGAGAGAGGCATAGGTTGCCTCCCACAAGTCTTCCTTATTTCTATTGTAGTTTGGAGGGACCCAGAGCGTTTTCTTTGACAGCACATATACTAAAATTGAAGTGATACAGAGAAGAATATCATGGCCCCTGTGTAAGCACGACAGGCAAATTTATAAAGTCTTCCATGTTTTTCAGCAGGATGACATATTCAAAGTGCTGATGGTCAAACAAGAATTATAATTATACGTCCAGCAAAACTGTCTTTCAAATTTAAGGAAAAATTAAGACATTCTCAGATAAACAAAACTGAATTTGTTGCTAGCAGATCTGCCCTACAAGAAAGTTTAAAGTAAATCCTTCAAGCTGAAATGAAAAGACACTAAACGTTAACCTAAATCTACACAAAGAAATGAAGAGCACTGATAAAAAAGAAAAATAAGACATCACATATGTGTTTTTGGTGACTCTCTTATTCTCCTATCTGATTAAACGACAATGCTATAAAGCAATCATTATAAAACTGTATCGATGGGCTTACACTGTATAAAGATATAATCTAGATGACAGTAACAGCACAAAGGAGAGAGGAAGTAACAGAGATAAATTTGAGTAAAGTTTCTGAATACTATTCAATTAACTTAGTATTAATCTAAACTAGATTGTGTTAGGTAAGGTGCTAATTGTAATCCTCTGGGCAACCACTAAGAAAATAATTTTTAAATGCAGAAAAAAATAACATGGGAAGTAAAATAATACACTAGAAAATATTTATTTAACACAAAAGAAGGCAGTAATGGAGGAATGGAAAAACGAAAATATAGGTATATAGAGGGACCAGCCCAGTGGCGCAGTGATTAAGTTCGCACATTCCACGTTTTAGCGGCCCGGGGTTCGCCAGTTCGGATGCCGGGTGCAGACGTGGCACGGCACCATGCTGTGGCAGGCGTCCCACATATAAAGTAGAGGAAGATGGGCAGGGATGTTAGCTCAGGGCCAGGCTTCCTCAGCAAAAAGAGGAGGACTGGCAGTAGTTAGCTCAGGGCTAATCTTCCTCAAAATATATAGATAGATAGATAGATAGAAAAAAATAGCAAAATACCAGACATCAATCCTACTGTATCAGCAATTATGTTAAATGTAAATGGCTTGAACATTCTAATTCAACGTGGAGACAGGAAGTATAGTTTAAAAAAACTGATCTAACTTTATGTGTCTAGAAGTGAAAAACTTCAGGTTCAAGATGTTTATAGGCTAAAAGTAAAATGATAGAAAAAAAATATACCTTGGAAAAAGTAACCAAAACAGATCCTGGGTGGCTAAACTACCATTAGGCAAAATAGACGTTAAGAAAATTGTTACTAGAAACAAAGAGGGACATTTTTTAATGATAAAAAGGCAATCCATCAGGAAGATATAACTGTTATAGACATAAATGTACTTAAAAATATAATCCCTAAAATACACTAGGCAAAAACTGACAGAATTGAAGGGAGAAATAGACAATTCAACAATAATAGTAGGAGATGTAAATACTTCATTTTCAATAATGGATAAAACAACTAAGCAAAACACCAACAAGGAAACGGAAGACTTGGAGAGATCTAGAAGTTTCCATGAACTTTTGTGGGAGGACACAGGCATAGCCGAATAAAAAGCTACAGGGCCACTACACCAAGATGGAGCAGATATGCACTGGTAAGAGTTCTCCAGAGAAATAGCACCAACAGCAGGTGTAGAGAGAGGGAGAGAAAGAGAGAGATTTATTTTAAGGAATTCTCTCACGCAATTGTCGAGGCTTGTTAAATCTAAAATCTGCAAGGTAGGCCAGCAGGCTGGAGAATCAGGGAAGAAGGCAATTCAAGTCCAAAGACAATCTGCTGGAATATTTCCTTCCTCTTCTTCCTCTGGAAAGGGCAGACTCTGTTCTATTAAGGCCTTCAAATGATTGGATGAGGCCCACCCATATCACAGGGGGTAATCTGCTTTTCTCAATGTCCATCAATTTAAAAGCTAATCTCATCCAAAAATACCTTCGCAAAAACAGTTAGAATCATTTTTGACAAAATATCTGATGACTGTGGCCTAGCAAAGTTGACACATAAAATTAACCATCACAGGACGCCATTACTGAATTGGATAGTTGATGTGACCAAGACTCCGAAGGGCCTAGCAGCAGTAGCAAGATCTGAGGTAGACAATCAAAAGGGGAGGATTTCTGTGCCCTGGTAGTCAGGAGAACCAACCTGTTCACAATTTTACCAATCTTGTAATTTACAAGGGGCTGGGATGGTGGTCATGACTGGGTGACTTTAACATTAAAGTCTAATAGAAGAGCATGGTGGTGAAGGCAAGGAAGGAACCAGAAGATAGCTCAGGCCTGAATACTTGGATATGAACCCCCTTTGTACTGCACTCTTGAAGTGATGTAAATTCCCAGGTTCCCAGGTAATTTCTTGGCAAGTAGAAATAGAGAAGAAAAAGTACTGAACAATTACTAGGGAGACTAAGTTACCTAAAATGGTTGCAGGGTTTCTCAACATGAACACTACTGAAATTTTGGACTGAATAATTTTTTGTTGTAGGAAGACACCTTATGCATTGCAGGATTTTCAAAAGAATCATTGACCTCCACCCAGGAGAGGCCAGTAGCACTCCTTGCCCCAAGTTGAGACAATCAAAACTGTCTCCGGACATTGTCAGATGTTCCCTGAGGGGCAAAATGACCCCAGTTGAGAACCACTGGCTTAGAGAATGTAATACTCTTAATTGGAAAATTCAAGTCAACAGTTTTATAGGGTGTGTGTGCACATGTGTTTGTGTGTGTGTGAGTGAGTGTGTGTGTCTGTGTGTTAATAGGGGCACTTACTAATAGTTAACTCCTAAAACCAGGGAGGAAAGATTTCCATTCTAATTACCCATGAGATAAGGGTATTTATTAAACTAACCATTCAACCAACAAATCAAATTTCTTCTAGTTCATCTCTTTACCCTTCACTGACTCCTCATAGAAAAAGCAATTTAGTTAACTTTGGTCCAAGCAATGGTTGAAATTGGTGGAACCTCTGACTCTTGCCTCTTGTGTCCATTCTTGAATGCTTATCTTTAAACAGATTCAGATTGTCTTTCTCACATGTAAGACCCTGTTCACAGGTAGTAAAAATACCAGAAGCAGATGTGAATCGGCTTTACCAGTAATAAAAATGTTTCAGCATTTTCATTGTCATCTAAATTATTTTGCAGGTCCTCAGTTTGTTTTTAATAATAAAATGATTTGCCAAAGATTGTTTGCTTTTTTTAAGAAGACTGATTTTCGACTTCCTTAACATATTTTGTTAGAAAATGGTTGATATACCATCCATTTCAACACCACAGGGTCTTGAAAAACCCTGCACAATCTCCCATTCTTTTAGATACATATTGTCATCACTGTTACTGGCATTAAAATAATAGTTTTAAATATGTTTTATTTTTAAATTTTGTCTTGATGCTAACTTAGCAAAAATATTCCATAAGACCAATATAGTATCAGTTATAGACCTCTTTTTACTTCTTTTTCTTTTCTTTTCTCTTTGGCAAGTGGAAACCTGATTTTATCCCAATATAACCATAATCAGCAGTTTAAAAAAATGTAGAAAAATAGGCCTATATTCTCATGTAATTGTTCTATACTCAGTATGGAAAAAAAAAATGCTTGGCAAGTAAAGGCATTAACACATTTTCAAGGGACTTCTCAAGTGCAATTTTTTCCCTTGGCTCAGCATTTCATTTTTACAGCATCTATTAATCAAGTTTAAGCAGCCTTTAAATCCTCAATCCCTCCTTCACATAATTTCACAATTGCTACCCTCTTCTCTCTTTGTCTCCAGTAGTATCTTCTCCTGCCTCCATTGTTTTAACTCAGCTCTTTGCTCTACTCCCTCAATCATCCCAACTCTACCATCCTTTGACAATAGCAGCCATCAATTTCTGAGACCATACAACAAGGACTAATGTTTATGCTTTCAAAGGGAATTCACCGAATAATAAAGACCATTTAAGAAATGCCAGGAAAAATTGATTACTCTGGAATTCAGAAAAACTAGTCCAAATTGGAGAGGAACAACAGCATTTCATCCTCAGAACTAACCAGCAGAGAGAAAAAAGGAAAAATATGACTAAATCCATCTTTGTTCTTTATTATATTTGAATATTAAAACTCACAGAACCTAAGAAGCATTTAACTGAATCAAGAAGAGAAAAAGAGAAGAGCTATAGAAAATAAGTCCCCCTCAATTAAAATAAACATTTTAAGAAGCTTAAGGCATATAAAAAGATATGGAAGATGATCAAAAAACCATATGGTGATGCAAGGAACCAGATAATTCCTTCATAGATAAATCATTACCCAAAACATTTTTCCTGTTTTACTAAGGTGGATATCCACAGACAAGTGGTTGACTGTTTTCTTCTCTGTCCTTATCCTTAAAAGTAACTGATAAATTGCTAAAGATCTAAAGGGTAAACATCATTAATCTATTTTTCTCAGATATGTCATAATTCTGAATGTTGTTATTCTATTGGCTCATTTTATGCATGTCACTGTAAGAACACTAAGTTCTGGGCATCAGAAATATCGAGAGAAGTCAGAAGAATCTCTGGTTACTTGAAACCATTTGAAAGTCAAGGGCAAACTCATATCTGGAACTCAGACTTTCTGGATTTTTCTTCCACAACAAGAATCAAAATAACATCATTCTTGCTTTGTTCCTATCCTTAAGGGAGTTCAGATACTAAAACATTACTTACTATCAGAAATTTGCAGACTGCCATTCAGAACGTCATAAAATACCACCTTTATTGAATAACTGTGTGCATACCTCTGCAAGGACATGGTCTGTTCATTAGGTCCCAAAATCATTAGGTCCCCATAGTGTCCCAAATCTACCATTACGCTTCTTGAAAGTGACAGTAAATTGCTTCCAAGTACAATTTCTTCTCATCCTTTTTATGTATATTGTAAAAACAAGGCAGCAAATCAAAGAGGAAACAGGTTAATTTTATGCCAATCACGAAACTTGGTGACAGGTGTCGCCATATGTTGCAACAAGATCTCTTGGCCATGGGTCATTGCTTTGAAAGGAACTAACGAATGGCTTGCAGTACTGTGACACACTGAAAGGCCCCCTGGGATCTCATGCAAAGATCTCATGACA